GCCGGTGGTTGCAAGGTCTTCTCTAAGATTGACCTCAAGTCTGGCTACCACCAGATTGAAGTCGATCCGAGCGACCAGCACAAAACCGCGTTCAAGACACGCGATGGGCTGTATGAATTCATCGTTATGCCCTTCGGCCTTACGAAYGYGCCWGCCACRTTTCAGTCCCTCATGGACAAGGTACTCCGCCACCAACTTAACAAGTTTGTGGTTGTGTATCTTGATGACATTCTGATTTTCAGCAAGTCCATGGAGGAGCACGTTAAGCATCTTCAGGAGGTCTTGCAAGTCCTCAAAGATGCTCAACTGCACCTCAACTTGGAAAAATCTGAGTTTGGTAGGGACAGCGTCATGTATCTCGGACACCGGTTATCTGCGAGCGGCCTTGAGCCGGAGGCAACCAAGGTTGAGGTCATCCGCAACTGGCCTCAACCGGCAAATGTACGCGAGCTGCGTTCTTTCCTTGGTTTGGCTTCTTATAAGCTCTCTGTCATTGCTCATCCACTATCACGCCTGACTAGTAAGAATGTTGCCTATGCGTGGTGTGAAAAGTGTGAGACTGCGTTCCAAACCTTGAAAGAGGCTTTGGTGAGTCATCCTGTGCTCCGCATTGCGGATCCCAACCTCACGTTCATATTCACTACGGACGCGAGCCAGTTTGGGATTGGTGCGGTGCTGCAACAAGATGATGGCGATGGCTTGCGTCCGCTCGAATATTACAGCAAACGCATGCCCAGCCACAAGGTAGCTACTTCCACGTATATGTGAGAGCTTTCCGCCCTGCGCGAAGCCCTCGCACATTGGAAGCACTACCTCTTGGGTCACCACTTCAAGGTCTATTCTGATCATCAGACCCTGCAATGGATTCAGACACAATCCGAACTCTCTCCTACGTTGACCCGCTGGCTGCATGACATTGATGTTTACAGTTTTGAGTTGAAGCATAAGAAAGGTTGTTATAATCGTGTTGCTGGTGCTCTATCGCGCCATCCTGAGTATTTGACTTGCCTGGTGGATTCGTACGACCTCCGCAGGAAACTGAAGGAGGATCTGATCGAACACACCGCCAAGGATCCGGACCTTAGTCCCATCCTTGAGCAGCTCAAGGCAGACCCCAACAGCCAGCCTAATTTTCATGAATGCGATGGTCTTGTATTCCGCCGGTACGGGAAATTTGATCGCTTGTGTGTTCCTAACCATGCGCCTCTCCGGAATCATTTCCTGGATTTGGCACATGGTCGGAGTGGGCACTTCGGCTTTGAGAAGACTTATGGGAGTCTTCTCCAGCAGTTCGATTGGTCGGGGATGAAGGGATCTGCTCAGAAATTTATTGTTGAGTGTCAAGTCTGTCAGAGAACCAAGGTCCACAGGCATAAGCCTTATGGCCTGCTGAGACCTCTCCCAATCCCTGATGGCCCCGGGGAATCGGTCTCCATCGATTTCACGAACATGGGAAAGGTGAGTACGAAAGGGAATTCACAAGTCATGGTCATTGTGGATCGCTTCTCTAAATTTCTGAATCTGATTCCTCTACCTCCCTATGCACCAACTGAACTGGTGATCGAAGAGTTTCACCAGCAGTACATTCTGCAGTATGGGCCCCCGAAAACTCTTATGAGTGATCGGGACACCAGATTCATCAGCAAGGATTGGAAGGACTTCACTGCCCAGATCTATGACATCAAACTGAACATGACTTCTGGTCGACACCCCGAAGCCAACGGATTGGCTGAGGAAATCAACCAGACCGTCACCCAGCTGTTGCGCGCATTGATTGTGCCAGATCAGAACACATGGGATAAGGACTTGCATAAAGTAAACGGGCTGTACAACAACTCCATCCATTCTGCAACCGGTGTGACACCAAACCAGTTGCAGTATGGATGGCCAATGCGCAATCCCCTCTCCTACCTGTTCCCAGAACGGTCACCTGATCTGATGTCCGGCATGCCTGGCTACAATGCCAAGTACGCACGCTTGCTCAAAGTTGTGACCGCAGCCATGAACAAGCGCCAGCATGCCATGATCAAACATGCTAATAAGATAAGCAGAGAAGAGAAATTCAAAGTAGGAGATTATGTCTGGGTCAAAATGTCTGAATTTTCTGAGGAAGAGGGCGCTTCACGGAAGCTTCTTCCACTATACTACGGCCCTTGGCAGATTCTGAAAGTGATTGAGGTTGATTTCGGTCCTTCATATGTGATTGACGTGCCGCCTCATCTGCGCACGTACCCAGTCTTCCATGCCTCCAAACTGTTTCCGCACATTGATGACAAGACTTTTCCCTTCCGAGACCCTATGATACCTCGCCCTATCGATGGTGGCCATGAGATCGACCGAATTGTTTCTCACGAAGGGAGAGGGAGGAACAAACAATATAAAGTCCACTTCCTCTATCACCCGTTGAATTAATTTTTCTGGATCGACCGGAAAGAGCTGTTGAAGAGTGCGCCACGTGTTGTGAACGCATATGAACGACAGATTGTTGATGGACAGACCACCAAGTTTGCTGCAAAACTCACTCCGTTCGGTCTCACTAACACTCTCCTTTTGATCTATGCCTACGACGCCTTTTGTACCGACTCTAACTGAGTTACTCGCTCGAAGGGACCGCGCTCTCGAGAGGGGAGTAATGTAATGACCCGCCAAAAACACAGACTGAGAACACTGCCGATTTATGGGATTTGTGACTGGAATGGATGCCTTGTTGTGATTCCCGCATTCTGCTGTGGTTCCAAGTCTGTGTGTGTGCATGCCTGCTGGTTGCATGCCTGTCTGAGTGCTTGCTGGTTGTGTGTGTGTGCGTGCATGCCTGTCTGAGTGCTTGCCGGTGGGGTATGTGGGTGTTTGACCCGCAAGGGTACTTGTTGGTTGCGAGGCCCACCGGGCCGGTACTTACCTGTGGCCGTGATTCTGGAGGGTTGCAGGGGGGTAAAACACGCCGGTAGCGGGAGATAGGCCCACGACACTTAGAGCAGCTGGGGAAAACACTCAAGTAGCAGGTAGGCCGAGCAGAAGAAGACAAAAAGTTGGCATTTTTAGAGGTCCAGTAGCGGTAGGTTGGGGGTAGGCCAGTACCAGTCCAAGTAGCCCGGGTCTAGGGCCTGTGCGGACAATAACAAAGCCTGCAATGATGTTTCCCTCCAAAAGGGAGGAGGTACCGGTTGCCTGGGAGGCCGCTTGGCCTGGAAAGTCACCAACCAGGAGGCTAGTAGGCCACTATATCTTCAGGAAGAGCGGAAGGCTCTTCCTCATTTGCGGTATGCAAGGATTGGCGACATGCTGCTGGAGCGCAGCGCTGGACTGAAGCAGCGTTGCTTGGAGGTGAAGGTCCGCTGGGGCTCAGCCTGGCTATGGCGAGCACCCGAGCTTGAGGAGGAGGAAGAAGGGGGTATGGTAGGAGTGGTAGGGCACTTACTTGGCTATGGTGGACACCGTCTTCATCACCTTGTTGGGCGCTGCATCTGGAAGGCCCCAGTTGGGGTAGCGCTGCACCAGAGCAGCTCAAGGCAGAGTCGGGCATAGCGGACCAAGTCAAGCAGCGGCATAGCTGCTTTGGGTTGTCTTGGGACATCAGCGCAGCAGCATAGCTGCCTCCCGGTAGTCCGCCATGGCCTATGCATGAGAGAGGAGGATGAAGGAGGGAAGCCATGGCCATGGTGGACTTTCTTGTTGTTGTTGTTGTTGTTGTTGTTGTTGTGAGTTGAGTCAGCAATAAGGGGGAACTTCGGGCATTGATTCTGGTTTATCCATTCATTGTTATTATTATTATTGAGAGAAGAATAAGATTGGTGAAGAGAAGGAGGAAGGAGGGAGGTGGAGAGAGAAGGGGGAATTGTCATTGGTCTTGCTGGTGTACTTCTTCTTCTTCTTCTTCTTCTTTACCTCTCCTCTGGTCTTTATCTCTTGCAAGTGCTTTCATTTCTTTCGCAATTGGGTGGCATTTTCTTTCATTGTGAATTTGCACTTGGGAAATGACCAGGATCGTAACATATTGGTCCTGCCCACCTAGTCAACTTAGGTGTCATCTTGGCCTGGGTCTTTAACCAACGAAGTGTCTCATGGTCAGAATACACTTTGAAGTGCCTCCCAAGCAGGTAATGCTTCCAGTGCTCTAGAGCCTGCCTGAGAGCGTAGAGTTCTCTCTCGTACGTCAAGGTGGCTACCTTGTCTGAGGGCATCCTCGCGGACATGAACTCTACGGGTCTATAGCCATTGCCGTCATCGTGCTGCAACACGGCGCCTATTCCATACTGACTCGCGTCCATGGTGACGACAAATGGCAAGGACGGATCTGCTACTTTGAGGACAGGGTACTCTATTAGTGCGCGTTTCAGTCTCTTGAGCGCAGATGTACAATCCTTGTCCCATTGCCAGATTGCCTCTTTCTTAAGCAACTTGCGCAGGGGAGCGGCGATAGTAGAGAAGTTTCTGACGAACTTCCTATAGTAGTTAGCTAGGCCTAGAAACGACCGCAACTCTGTCAATGTGCGGGGCGTCGGCCAGTCTCTAATCGTCGCTATCTTGCTGTCCTCTGGCTTGATGCCATCTCCGTCTAATACGTGGCCCAAGTACAAGACTTGTGTGTTGGCCCACTCGCACTTCTTCGCGTTGATCTCGAAGTTAGCCTCTCGTAGCTTCTCCAAGACCTGCCTCATATGACCCTGATGCTCCTGGAGGGTCTTACTAAAATTTAAAATATAATATAAATAAACCACTACAAACTTGTCTAACCATGGTCTGAACAGATCATTCATACAACGCTGAAACGTAGCTGGCGCGTTGGTTAGTCCAAAGGGCATCACTATGAACTCATAATGCCCATATCTAGTCTAGAAGGCAGTGTTGTACTGATCATCAGGATGGACTTCTATCTGATGATAATCGGACTTCAAATCAATCTTAGTGAAATACTTACAACCCTGCACCCGATCTAGAAGATCGTCTATCCTGGGCAGTGGCTCAGCATTCTTCACAGTAATCGCGTTCAAACTCCTATAGTCTATACACATTCTCAGCTCTCCTTCCTTCTTGGGGACAAACAAAACTGGTGCTCCAAAAGGAGATGAACTGGGCCTGATCCAACCTTTTTCGAGGAGCTCGTCTAACTGCTTGCGAAGCTCCTCTAACTCTCTAGGGGACATCCTGTAGACTGCACACTTAGGAGTTCTACTGCCAGGCTCTATCTCTATCCTGTGCTGGATGGGTCGCGACACTACTCCTGTCGGCGACTCAGTCAAATCTTTAAACTCTTCCAACAGCTTGGCAATTGTTGGATCTGTGGAAGTGACATCTTCCTTAGCCTCAGTGACAGGTCTAACATAAACTACGAAGACCTGTTCCTCTAATCGCTCCTTCTTCACTAACCACACGAACGCGGGAGCACTGAGACAACAATGTGCCAAGGTGTTGTCTACACCTGACACATGAAACAGGCGGGCAGTCTTAACCTCGCCTGACGGGCTAGGGATCCTACACTCATGCTCTCTCAAATGAAGTGTGGCCCCTGCTGCCTCTCCCCAATCCATTCCTAGTACTACATCAAAAGGAAGGTCATCCTGTACGAGGAGAGTCAGGGAATGGAGAACTTTCTCCACCTTCCCATCTTTCTCTAGGCGAAAGTACGCCTGGACTCCCTCTACATAGTCCTCAACTCGCATTGTGTTGTTGTCTACGAGGACACTGACTATGGGGTCTGCTAATTTCTGGACTTTTAGTCCTGGCTTCAGCTTCTTCAGCGCCCTACAGCTAATATGACTGCGGGTGGCCCCTGAATCTATAAGGGCCCCTACTCTACTCCGAAAAACTTCTACATCTACCAAAATCAGTTGTCCTTTACTCTCTTTCTTCATCTTGGCCCAGGCTGGCATCCTCTCCTTTAACTCTTCTGCCACACCTGTGAGGGACGTGCCTAAAGAGACGCTAACACAGGTGGTCTCTGGACAGCTAGCTAGGCACGGGCCTGCAACCTCTGCCATAGGCTCATATGGGTTGGGAGTGTCCTGTTTGCGCGCGCTCACTTCTCCACATGGCCTTGAAGTAGGGGCAGTTGCGACCCCTACCAGTGGCTGCCTTTTGACTGCGGGGCAGCCCAACGTGCCTGTCTATACTTAGGACAATATTTGATAACGTGGGCCGGGTCACCACAGAATACGCACTGACCCTGGTCCACGCGTTCCTGTCATAAACGTTGGTCCAGGCCCAAGTCTTCCCAGGGTCTGCCCTGTGGCAAGCCTGGGTGCCAACCTCCTTGAGGTGCCCTTCCACCTCGTCGTTGCGGGGACCGATTACCCTAGCGATTTGGTGGGGGACCTTGACCCCTACCTCCCGCTTGGCGGCTTCCTTGGCCGCCAACCCCCTGTGTGCCCGGTCCTCGACCTCCCATGGCCTGGCCCCTTTGGCCCTGGCGCCCGGTCCTCGACCTCCCATGGCCTGGCCCCTTAGGCCCTGGCCTCCTCCTCTACCTTGCGGCCTCCCTCCAACCGCGACAGCAGCATAAGACCTCCCCTGTCCCACACTATTGTCCTCCTCCTCTAGGCCCCACTCAATCTGACTGTATGGGACCTCATCAGTACCACCTTCCTCTAGGGTAAGGATCATATGATCCTTGGCCCTCACTTGGCCTGAGATGGTACGCCCTTTCCACGTCTTCCCCTTGTCCAAGTCCTTATGCCAGAAAGTGGTAACTGGCATGGGCTTTGACTCATACAGGACGACTTCTCTACTTAATGCATCATACATGATGCCGACCTGTTGAGACTTATCAAAGAAATGCCCACGCAGGGCCTCTGGCATGGCACGATAAAATAACTGGACCAATTGGGTCTCAGTGAACCCATGGTCCGGGACGGCTACTAAATCGTCCATAGTACCCTTGAGTGCTCTCGCACTCTTCCACTGTCGTGAGTGGATCGTTTGTAGCTTGTCAGAGGCGCGAACGCCTCTCGTTGGGTCGGCAAATCGCTCCTTCAGGAGCTTGAGGAATTGAGAGAGGGGGATGACTTTTGAATATGCAACCAGGTTGTTTTCACAACCGACTGCGCGCGCAAGGGACCTGGCGAAACTAGTCGCTTCATCCTTGAGGGCCTGGAAGGCCACGAGGACTCGTTCCTCTGGCAGGATGTGCTGTAAATATATATAACTGTTGACACTGGCCTCCCAGTTGTCAAAGTTCTCTTCCTTCTTACCCCCGTATGCGTCTGGGAACTTAAGCTTTACAGGCTCTTTACGGGGTCTGCCCTCGCCCTCTACGACAGCTATTGCTTTGGCGCCCTCAATGGCGCCCTCACAGAACTTCCCTACATTGTCCCTCAATTGCCCAACTTCGCTCCCAATATGGGTGACGATTTCGCGCGCAAAGTCTCTGAACCCCGACCGCAAAGCACTCAAGCAACGTCTTGGCTCCAACTTGCCTGACGCTCCTCCATCCAGGCTTTGCCCAACACCTCTAGGTACCCCAGTACCTTATCCCACTTCGCCTTATTGTCTGCTTGGGCCTCCACTTCTCTCCTACAGTCCTGAACCTTTGCCACTTCTACGGTCATTTTGCTTACTTCCTCTCTCCTCCTCTTCTTCTCCCTCTTCATCAGTAACTTCCATGCCAATTTCTATTCCTCGTTCCTTTCTCGCCGTTCCATGGGGTCCTGCATTGCTGCTAGTTCTCCCAACGATAAATGAGCAACCCACTCGTTGATCTTCTTCTCCATCTCTGCATCTATGTCCCTCTTCATCGTGCCTCCACTGCTCCCTTCTCCACTTTCAATCCTCATCCTCTCTTTTTCTTCTTCTGCTGCCGCTTCTTCTTCAGCAGCCTTCTTCCTTTTCTCCATCTCCTCTTCCAACTCCTTCATCTTGGCCGCCTGCTCATCTGCGATAGCTTTTAACTTCGCTTGCTTCTCGCGCTTTTTTCTCTCCCTATTCTCCTTAACTAAGGCGACCATCTTTTCTTGCTGCTCCTTGGTGTAGGGGCTAGTGTCCTTCCCACTGCGGGTCTCAACCATGGTGAAAAGTGCACAACCGGGTGGTGGTTCCAAACCTCACCACGTCGACTCTAACCCCTGACTGACAAACCTACTGACTCAATCTAAGGACTTACAGAATCCTGACAGGGATCCTGTCAACTATGGTCTCTAGCCTAGACCTACACTATGGTTGTCACTACTAGACCCTTTGCTGATCTGGAGGCATTTAAGGAGATCCCCCGTAACTCCTCAAGAATTCTTTAACGTCGCAGACAGGACGACGTGATCAGCTTGGTCTGGCCTGTTGCATCAGCCCACAACTCCGCCTTTCGGGCCTACCGTGCGACACCGAGCAGCCCGCCGGTCAGTATCGGTCCTTGGGAGGGTTTGACCTCCGGGACAATCGAGTCGTCAGACACGGCCTTTAGCCTTACTAGGTCCGGTAGGGGTTTGGGTCAACAAGGCCCTCAACACTTAAGACTGCCTGTTGTGTCAGCCCACAACTCCGTCGTTCAAGCCCACCGTGTCACGCCCAATCCGAGCCCCGCCGGTCAGCACCGGTCCTTGGGAGGGTTAGGCCTCCGGGACAGTGAGATTAGACATGGTATCAGCTCTACTAAGTCAGGTAGGGGTTTCATCATACAGACCCTATCCTTCATCCACAGAGTACTATCACCTAGGACAGAAGAGACGCAATGCATAAAGAATAGACAGACTGACTGGACTCAGCAAGTACCAAGGGGTGTGTGCACATCCATAGGGCAAGGGATAGGTTGAGGGCTTGGCGAGATATTACCAACTCCAGCTTGGTCAAAGTCTTGGTCAACGCCGGTCAACGCTGCTATGGCCCCCGATCAACCCTCGGTCAACTCTGGTACCCGCCGGTCAACACTCTTGGTCAACCCTCCGGTCGGCTATGGCTGCCGGCTCTTCTTCCTCGCCAATCCTCTTCTTCTTCTTCACCTTCCTTGCCTCCTTTCACCCCGGCTGTCTTCTTCTTCTCTTTTTTCTTTTTTTTTGGATCGGCCTTCCCTTCACCTCTCGGCTATTGCCGCTTTCTCTCCCTTCTCGGTCTCTCCCCCTCTGTCCGGTCTTTCTCCCTCCTTCACTACTCCATGGTGATGTTCCGCGGCTATGGCTGCTTCTTCTTCCTCCACGTGGACTGCACAGCTCGCTTCACAGGTATGTGACAACCAAGCTTGTATCGCTCATCTCTCTCTCTCTTTCTCTCTCTCTCCGTAACGCTATCTTCAGCGCAGCAGGTACGTAGTAACCCAATCTTGTATCGCTCAACCTCTCTCTCTCTCTCTCTCTCTCTCTCTCTCTCTCTCTCTCTCTCTCTCTCTCTCTCGGTCTTCTTCTTCGTCGTGGTCTTCTTGCAGGTGCGCGGCGGCTCCTCCAACCTCAGGTCCGCTATAGCGGACTATGCCCCTCAGCGGCCACCTCTGCTATGGCGCGTCAGGCCCTGCACACGACGGCGCGCATGGAATAGCGGGTACCAGCTCCGATACCAATGCAATCAGACTCGTACTCATTCACACTTTTCATGCATGTAAACAGCAACGCAGCAAACTGGCGACATGCGCCCACTCAGAACTCAGAGATATGGCTTCCAGGTACGAGTTCACTTCCAACTGGCTATGGCGACTCAGCGCCCAAACAACTCACTGTTCACACACTCCGGATCACCCTGGATATCCCACACGCATCACTCTGAACACTCACACATACACACACACACTTCACACTAACTACAGCTATGGCAGCTATGGCTGCCTCTACCCTATCGCTATACTAAGCTCCTTCTCTCTCGCCCACTGCGTCCTCCGGGCTCACTGCAGACCTCCTTGCACAAGTCGCTGTGGCAGCGCTTCCGCATGGCTCACGCAGGAATGAATGAATGGCTGGGCGCTGCCTCTTGATTTATAATTCTGCAGGTCGTTGGTCTGGCCCATTTCCCTTGCCCGAAGTGCACACAATCCCGTGCGGTACTTGCTGGACTGACTGGGGACTGGGACTGTTGACTCAGCAGGGTAGACTTCTACCACTTGCCCACTTGCCCACTTGCCTCACCACTTGACCACTTGCCTCTGCTTAAACGTGGGCAACTTCGAAAGGCCACTACTGGGACCTTCCGGAAGGCTGTAGACTTGGCCTTTCGTGACTGTAGCAACTACGATTCTGACCCTTCTGGACTGTAGCAGCTACGACCTTGACCTTTCGAGAAAGCTACAGCTACGGTGTCTAGACCTGACTAAGACTCCTATCCGACAGGTCTACAGATCGAACCCATGCTACCTATGAACCCTACGACAACCTATCAGCTGTTACAAATACACAGGTCGCGGGTTCAACTCTATGGGCCGACACAGGGTACTGTACACAGGTAAGGTTGGGGTCTAGGGATCGAACCCTGGGTACTGCATCTGTTACTGCTAAAGGTGAAAACCGTTTCACTTTTGCTGCCATGTGATCAAACCAGACAAGCTTACAGAATCCATGGCAAAGTGAAGCCTCGCCCTTGACCATACTGAACCTATATCTGTGCCAAGGAAACATTATGAACCTAGAAGGAAAAATGACCAGTGCATGCTAATTCAGGAATAAGTTAGCACAAAAAAGCAGTGCAGACTGGCACTAAGACCCAACAGAAGCAGCTTACTTCTTGCCTGCCAAGCAGTTCTCCGATTCTCGCCATTCAATGTTCATTGTTCAGACATTTTTGGAATTTTTGTGTTAAGATTTATATCCTGTTATCACTACCGTCTTCACCCGAACACAATGTATGGTCATTCTAGCTGTATTTGGGGTATCTTTCAGTCTAAATACAGCAATAATGATTGTATGTTGTATTCAGGTGTAGAGGATAGCATCATAGCACACACTCATTTTCTCTCCTCAAGCAGCTTTGCTGAGCAGGTAATGCACAAGGTTTGGTTAACAGGGACCCCACTACTTTTCAGCCCTCCTTTGGTCCTGCTTTTAACTTCTTCTTGTTTTTGCTGTTGGTTTATTTAGCGTCCACTCTATGGACCGGAGACATGTTTGGCTTAAAATGTGGGAGGTTTGTTATTATTAATTTATTATATAATATAAATATAATAAAGACCATGAAAAAGCCTTGAAAATGCAGGGCTCTCTTAAGTCGAACACAAAAGGGAGAAAAAAAAAGAAAGAAAAGGAGATGGACACCAACCTTTGTTGGACGGTGTTCGTGTCTTGGTGCTCGTCAATAAGGATGTACTCATATTGTTCTCCGAATTTTCGCATGACTTGTGGATGGTTTTGCAGCAGTTCCAGAAAAAGCTGGAGCATATCATCAAAGTCGATCGCACAAAGCTCTTTCAGCTGCAAACACAAAGTCGAAAGCCAGTCAGTGTACACAGACCGAGGCCCTCGATCCAAAGATTCAAGCACAGCACACAACGTTCATCGTATCTGTATCAAGAGATCAATTTCCTGGCCACATGCAGAAATGAAGTTCCCCAAACTCTACAAAGAAAAGGTTTCACCATAGTCCTCACTCGAATAGTATGCCCGTTAATCGATGTATCAAGACTGGAAGTTCCACCAAATACGGCTTCAACGACCGGGGATTCTCTTCGACTGAAGACGGTAGGTGTAGAAACACCTTCTTGGATCAAACATAGTCAAGTCCCCGTGCGTGAAGCGAAGACGTGAGAGGATGATGTATCCAGGTATGACATGTACCCCAGTACGCATACCCGCTGGCCACTGGAAACTCCTCAGATATGTACTAAGCGCATGTTTCTGGTCAGATGCGGCTACGATGAGATCTGTACAAAGCACAAGTTTCTGGTCAAATGCAGAAGCTATGATGACACCACATTCTATTCAAAGCAAAGACAAAGCAAAGAAGTGAGAAGCTGACGTACTCCAGGGTCATCAAGATCTGTACTAAGCACATGTTTCTGGTCAGATGCAGCTACGATGAGATCTGTACAAAGCACGAGTTCCTGGTCAGATGCAGAAGCTATAATGAGTATTAATGACAGCACATTCCGATCCATGGCAAAGACAAAGCAAAGAAGTGAGCGGTTGATGTATCCAGGCATGAAATGTACCCCTGTATGTATCCCACAGGAAACTCCAGGATGATCCGATATGTACTAAGCGCATGTTTCTGGTCAGATGCAGAAGCTATATTGACAGCACATTCAGATCCATGGCAAAGACAAAGCATAGAAGAGAGGGGGTGACGTGTGCACGCAGGTGTGAGTATGTGTACCCCCTTCCTACAGGAACTCCAGGGTCATCAGATCTGTACTAAGCACAGGTTTGTGGTCAGATGTGACTACGACAAGATCTGTACGAAACACAAGTTACTGGACAGATGCAGAAGCTAAAATGACACCACATTCTATTCATGGCAAAGACGTAACCTCAGGCGAGATCAGGTACTGACCCTCCTGTTATACCGTGCAAATATAGCCCTCCGCTCCTTCACAAACTCCCAAGGGTTGAACCCACGAGTCTTGGCACGCTCAATGAATCGGAGAAGCTCCTCCGCTTCCCCTGCTGCTATTGCGTTCGACGATTTCTCCGACTCCGCGTGTCTTTCCATACGCCTTTTCTCAAGCCCGTTTATCGAAGTGTCAGAGCAATCAGGTCCGTAATTCGGGACGTCCATGCCTGTATTTTCCCAGTACCCAGTTGTTTCTCCGTTTTCCTGCAGCTTAGATGCTTGCTTCCCCCCTTCGTCCCCGTTGCTGTCTTTGTCTTTGTCTGTGTCTGCGTCTGTGTCTGCATCTGCATCTGCATCATCCCGTTCTGCGGCTCTCCTTTCTCTATTTGTGGCCATTATCTTTTCGATTTCCACACCTTTCAAAGCATGATACATTTTGTCACACAAAAATATACCAAAAATCGTGGACTCTTCGAAGGAGAAATCAACCGCCATTGCCTTCGTAGCTGCTTGGCCAGAGCCACTTTCGCGCAGCATTCCCTGCCATGGAGGCACTGGTGCAACTTCCCTCTGCAAGCTGCTGCTGCCTCTCTTGCCCTTCTGCGCGGCAAAATTGCCCTCCCCTCCCTCACAAGGAGGAGCACGCCAGAGCCGCACAAGGCTTTCGTGATGCGGCTGCTGTCTCCATTATCTTGCGCACTCCTCCTCCTCCTCCTCCTCCTTCCTCTCCTTTTCCTCCCTCTGCTTCCCTTCTTCGTCCGCCTGCTCCGGCGGTTCTCCATGCTCAGAGTCCAATGACTTCTGCTTCATTTCCCCCGATTTACGCTTTTGCTGCGCCATCTCCTTCTCCTTCTCCCTGCCTATCTTCTCCATAGCCACTTTCTCACACTCTTCGTACAAAGACGGGTGCGCTTCTTTGAAGGCCGCGATCACCTCCCGCAAGGTGGTGGTAGACTTGCGAGGAAGTCCGAGCCGCGCCTTGGTCGAATAAATCACCGGTCGGCGCTTGAACCCCAACAACTTTTGGTGAAGTCCAACCCACTTAATGCCAAGAGCATGGAATGTGGCTACGGTGGCTCGCCCGATATCTACTTCTGGCGCCGCTTTTCTCCTTGCGTGGCTGAAATACACGTGCTGTATCCGCTCCTTGAACTCCACAGCAGCCTTGTTAGTGAAAGTGAGCGCCAAGATCTTGCTGGGCAGAACCCCCTCTTGAATCATATAGAGCACTCTGTTGGCCATGGTCTGGGTCTTCCCAGTGCCAGCACCTATCAGTCGAGACAGATACAGATACAAAGCCACAAATCAGAAACGGACAAAAGGACAAAAGGAAAAATCTTTTTTTCGGGGTTTTAACTTTTAAATCAGTCTCTTTTTTGTTTGTACATCAGTGTTTGGGCAGAACCGCTTCTTGAATCATATAAAGTAATCAGCTGCGTGCCCAGCTCACTTGGCGTACTATTCTTTCGCCTTTTACTAAAGAATACCGTGGGCTGAGCACACTGAGCAGCTTACAACAATTTTTTTTTTTTTTTTTWTTAAAAATTTTGGACCATTTCTCGATTTATGTGTGTCATCCTTGCGCAGGGGCCATGCTAATCTTCTCTGTATCGTGCCAATTTTAACGGATGCCCCGAAGGACAGCTTACAACAATTTTTAACGGCCCTTCGCTCCGTCAGAAAAAGAAAAAAAAGAAAAAATCATATAAAGTACTCTGTTGGTCATGGTCTGCGTTTTCCCAGTGCCACAACCTATCAGGCCATACTCACACTAGACCCTATTTTCCCGAATCCCCAATATATGCGGTCGTCGCGCGGTCACACACAATGCCCAATTTCACATTCACACTATTCCTTGTACCATTTGTCAGCGGCCTGTGGGGGCGTGGGTTAAGGGGATTTGCGGTCAACTCGATAGGTGACCGCAAATGCCTTATTTCTTTTGAGGATTTTTTTTTTTTTTTTGTGGAAAGGAGAGAAATCAGGAGGGGAGAGATATTGCTGCACTGTCAATTGGACAGTGCGCGAAAGGGTGTAATGCAGCTTTGGGTATGCGCGAGGTTTGGTCACATACGCGTGGACTCAGGGTCTCGCCGCACCGCACATGAAACGAAAACGAAACGAGTGCATCTGGTCACGAAAGGTGGCAAAATACACTCGTTACTATTTACAGCAAAACGATGAACCTGGCCATTTTCTGCAGGAAGATGCACTCGTCTCGTTTTTCGTTTCGCGTCCCGTGCGGCGACGCCCTCATTCTTGTTGCCGACACTCTCTGCATGTTTTGCCTTTAGCCTGCACCATGGATCTTGTTTTGACGTGGGCCCGTTAAAGCACCAGTACACCACACATAGGCCCGCGGGTGTCGGCACGAATCCCACACCACTTCGGAGGCCGCCGATATTTTTTTTTTTCAACAGTGCCCCACGCAGCACGGCCCCTCTGAGGTTTGCTTGTGGCAACAAAAACTTTCTGCAAGGTTGGGGCCGTGTACTTGCGGTTTAAGGCTATGCAGTCTCTTTCCATATCGGGCCAGCCTCCAGTTCCGCTCGTTGTCACATTTGTCCCACCCACTTCCGCTGCTCTTGCGCCTGTCGCCGCTTGTCTCTGCTGCTCCCAAGACATGTACCACGGATCGAGTTCCCTTAACTCACTGCGCGAGCTTCCGTATGTGTCCCTCCTTTCACTCCACAACTTTGTGGATGTATCTGACGTGGTTCACATGTACACCACAAGTTCAACAAATTGTGCTGGATGAATGCTCCCTGCGGTTATGTCCAGATACATCCACAGTGTAGTGCTGTGGAAAGATGGATCACGAGATGGCGGATGAATGCTTGCAGTGTTTACGTCCAGATACATCCACAGTGCAGTGCTGTGGAAGGATAGACACAGGATACCAGGGCCACAAGAGCGAATCCCAGCCAAGAGACGATTGCATACAGGACCAGGAAGGCTGTTGCTGTTTGCCTGGGCTTTCGGTTACCTGTTTTTCTTTTTCTTTGCCTGGTTTGTTTTCTCTGTGGTGCTGTGAATGTATATACATGATATTAAAGTCCCGAAACATCTGGCAATGCGAGTGCTCGAGCGACGAGCGGCGGCTGCATGAGATGGCTGAGCAGCATGGGATGGCGCAAACAGGGACCATTGGAACACGCGTACACAGAAAGGTCATCGTCTGGGCACACATTTCACGTGGAGGCGGTGTTCTAGCTCTGGCAGCGGCTGCATTCATGCCCCACTGCCCAGGCTATGCCCGCAGGAGTGAGAGTTCCTCCCCCCCCCCCCCCCCCCCCCCCCCCCCCCCCCCCCCTTTTTTTTTTTTTTTTTTTTTTTTTTTTAAACGCCTCCTACATCCATGAATTCCAATATTTCCGGTATGTAGCAATCCAAGCAGTCGACCCACGCTTGCACGCGATGGCTGAGCAGTTATGGATGATGTCAACTCCAATGCAAACGAGAAGTGTCCTGGGCATCCATGTCACATGGAGACTTCTTCTTTTTTTTTGTTTTTTTTAATGGAGACTATGGTCTGGCAACGGCCAACTTCCTGCCTCACTGCCCAGGCTATGGCTGCAGGAGTGAAGATTTCTCTTTTTTGTTTTCTTCCTTTTTTGTTTTCTTCCTTTTTTGTGTGGTTTCCAAGGTGTGAACTGAGCCACCTGTAGTCTAGCAGTTGATCGGGTGGGAAGCGACGTTCTTGTCACCCGCTCAAACTGTATCGGGTGGGAAGCGACGTTCTTGTCACCCGCTGAAACTGTAGCCGCACTTGCTATTTGCCCAGCTACAGCACGGGCTTCTGGCCGCTTCAGGCTGCACATGATGCCTGGCCAGTGGCCATGGCTTCCAAGGAGCCCGACATGGTTCCCATGACTTGGAGACAGACAGCCTCCCACATCTGTCTCACTGCTGACACACTCACTTGCAGCTGCTTCACGCAGGAATGCAGCTGTAGACAGACGATGAGGGCGGACAGCAGATGCAGCGAGAGGCAGCGACTGCTCCATGTCCGCTTCGCCCCATCCACTTGAAGCAATTTGAAGCAGTTGCCGTTGGTATGAAGTGGTGGGCTAAAATGAAGAACACACCCCCCCCCAAAAAAAAGAAAAAGGGTGCGAAAGGAAATGTGTCCAGTACAATGCGACTGGCCACTTTGCAAACTCCCAAAGCTCCTGGCCGCCGCGACCTTGTCTCATCCTATTTAGGGACCTAATGTGACTCGCACTACCACGAAATTCCCAAATCGTCCCTCCGCAAATTCTCAAAATATGCAGGTATAGGGTCGCAGTGTGAGCATGCCCTCAGTCAAGACATCCAGATACAGATACAAAGTTACAAAGCAGAAACAGGCAAAAGGACAAAAGGACAAATCTTTTTTTTTTTGGGGGGGGGGGTCTAAATCAAATTTTCTGTCTTAAAAATCAGGTTTTTGACTTCTCAGTCCCAGCACCTATATCAGTCAAGACATCCAGATACAAATACAAAGTTACAAAGTAGAAACAGACAAAAGGACAAAAGGGCAAATCTTTGTTTTTTCAACCTTTTTTTAATCAGTTTTTGTCTTCCCAGTCCCAGCACCTCTATCCGCAAAGACATCCAGATACAGATACAAAGTTACAAAGTAGAAACAGACAAACAGAGAAATGGGCAAATCTTTTTCTTTGTTTATTGTTGCTAATTCAGCTTTTGTCTTCCCAGCCCCAGCACCTATATGGGATAGGACATTCAGATGCAAATATGAGGTCTCGCTGCACTACTCTCGAAACGTGGAAAACGAGAGTGAATCTTCCGCTAGAATATGGAAAGATACATCGCCATGATTTTTGTCTTTTGTGCATGTCGAGGCCGCCATGGAGTTAACAAAGCAGCAACAGACAAACAGACAAAAAGGCAAATCTTTTTTTTTGTTGTTTCTAAATCAGTCTTTTTGAAGTTTTGTTTTTAAAATTTAAATCAGTTTCTTTTTGTTTTCAGAAGCACGAAAAACTGACAGGCAGGTAAAACAAAAAAAAAGTGATTTTTCTGATTTTTTCAATCATTTTTGCCATTTTTGGGAGCAAAAACAACTGACGCTAGGCTATGGGAGTGGCCCGGGGCAACTTGCCCGGGGGGCCAAAAAGAATCTTTTTTTTTTTTTTCCTAGGTTACCAGCCTGCCGGCTGGGTCACCTTGTTGGCCCGGGCTGCCTGGGGTGCCCGGCCGTGCAAGGACCATAGAAGGTCCCAGCCCAAAAAAAAAAAAAAAAAAACATTTTTTTTTTTTTTTTGAAATATGGTAAAGAATTTCGATTTGACCCTGAGGCAAAAGTTGTTCAGTTTATTTTTCTGCACAACATAGTTTTTTTCCACATTTTTGGATTTTGTTTTTATTATTTTCCTGGGCCCTTCCCTGGGCCTCGCACGGCCGGGCCGCCCGGTCAAACAAGGTGACCTGGGTGGCCTGGCTGGTAGCCCAGCAGGCCGGTATTAAAAAAAACTGTTGAATCAGTTTTTTGGCTTCTAAAATCAGGTTTTTATTTCCACCTTTTTAGACAGGCAGGTAAACGGACAAGCATAAAAAACAAATAAATGCGCAAACATACAAAACAACATATCAGTTGTAGTTTCTCTTCTTTTTATTTTTGTCTCTCTTCTTCTTTTACCTGGAACAGTGTTGATGTAGTTATGTCTATATAATATATATGTATGGCCTTCGCGCAGCAGCTGCAACGAACAGACAGGTTGCATTGTCTGTTTTTGGACCAGGATCGTGCTGCAGTGGCTCATTCTCACTAGATTTGGGCAATTAATCATAGGAAAAATTGCATATGTACCCCACTTAAAGATGGGAATACCCACTATATCCAGTCCCAGCGCCAACTTGCACCTATACCCAGAAAACTGCCGGTGGAAGTTATTTGCATGCCCAGGACTGAGGTGGACCCAGGTTGGTACCGCAAAATTGCAGTTATAACCAACTACCAGAATGCACAAATTATGGACATACCCAGGCAAAATTATGGGCATACCCTAAGGACAGATGGGACTGGGATGGAGGGAGTTGGGGTGGATGCGATTGGCGCCAAGTATCTCGGCGGGGTACCGGCCACTGGCTACTAACTCCACTTGGAACAACTTGAGGTTTTTCCTTTCCATGACGGAGGCAGGATCTTTTGGGTTGACTATTTCAGGGGCTGCATGTCTTCATATTTTCTAATTTTGACTTATCATCAAAGGCCATCCCTGCTCAGTTAATCCCCTGATTTCCGGGCCAATCAATGCTGGCAGGGGGAGGTCTTCTTAAATTTGTCTTAAAAAAGAGGTGTGTGGGAGAAGTAGATGGTTTGGATATCAAGCGTCCTACTAGCGAGGGGGCTACCTCGTAGGATGGAAATAGGGTACAGCAGCAGCGGAGATGGTGGCTCTGGTGCAGTAAGTCTTGCCGGAGTGAGGTAAAGAGGATTGATGGGGGGGTTCTGAGTCGTTTCTGAACTTTGCCAATTTTGAGGTTTGTCGTAGTGATTTTCTAAGTAGCCCAATTTTTTCTTAGCCAAAGCCAGGTAATGGCCCCGGTATCTCAAACTTTCAACTTTCTATGTAAATTTCTATATGGGACGCTGGGCCCGGTTCCCAGCACGTGCTGCTCCCCACGAATAGATTGGAGCCTTGTTCCCAACAAGAAAAAAAAGAGGTGGACTGGCAAAATTATTCATACACCCTACTACCGGATGGCTAAAAATTATGCTCAATCCCACCAGCCGCTGGGCCGTAACAGTTCACATGGTGGGCATGAGCATGTCTGCCATCCAAGGCCCTGCGCCTGGCTGTGGGTACACCCACAATTTTGCCATCCCGTTTCTGGGCATGGGCATAATTTTGTTGCCTGGAACTGAGGGCCTGCGGGATTGGGTATGCCCACAATTTCGCACAGAGGAAAAGTTGCGTACTATGCAAAGTAGTCCGGGGTCCGGGTATAGATGCAAGTTGGGCGCCGGGACTGGGTATAGCGGGTATTCCCATCTTTAAGTGGGGTTACTACAGATGCAATTTTCCCTTAATAATAACATGGTCTGTCGTTGGAGAAGAATCCTGCACCCCGAAAACCAAAAAAAAAAAAACCATTTCCCCCAACCAATAAAAAAACAAGCAAAAGGTAAAAAAAACAAAACAAAACGGCACACAAATCAAAAACACCTCCCATCTTAAAAAAAAAAAAAACACCTCCCATCGAGAAACAGAACGGAGGCCATTTTTTAACCCCCCCCTCCCCTCTCCATGCATCACAGTGTCGAAGTTCTTCAGTGACGAAGAAGTCGAACACACAAAGCGTGAGACGAGATAGCAAGTGAAGTATACAAGATCAATCAATTAAACCTAACAGGAGCAGGTTTGGCATCTCCACCGCCGTGTTTCAACAACCCCGCCGCCAACCCCMCCCCCGAAAAATAAGAGGGGAAAAAAAAAAAACACCTCGAATCCTTACCTGCCACGATCATCAGAGGTTTGGTCAGTTCACTGTTAGCAGCCAACAGCTGTTCGTCATTCAGAGGGTTTGTCATCGCCACCGGGCTCGAAGGAAAAAAACCATCACTGCAGTCATTGGAGGGGTTGTGAGGGGTAAAGGGTGGTAAATTGGTGCCCCTGCCCCCCACCCCCATTACATGATCATCCTCCCTTGATCCAGGAGGGGACATCGTGTGTTGATTCCCAGCAGACAAAGGGAAAGAAGAAGAAGAAGCACCCTCCCTCCCCTGCCTCTCCGTGCCCCCTTCCTCCTGCTCCATGAATGGTTGACCTGAGATGCTCCCACGTTGACTTCGCGATCGGTCAAAGAGAGACGAGAAGGAAGAGAGAGAGGAGGAGAAAGAGGAGAAAGAGAAAGAAGAGGACGAGGAGGAGGAGGAGGAGGAGGAGGGGAAGGGGACTGTATATGACACAGATTCGTAAGCTTGGCGCACATTGGCGGGAAGAACGCCGTGGCACTGCGCGCCGACTGCACCAGCTGCACTTCCCTCGACCCCATCACTGCGCGCCAGATTAGCATCATCATCAACGTCCACGTAAGTGGCGGGATCAATCGACACGTGTTCATATCTCTGAAGACATTCTTTCGCAGCTAGAAACGAGCTTGCTGGTCTCCTCCCGACATTGCCGACATTGTCGGCCTGACTTATAATTCTCATTCATTTCGCCCACATCGACCCTCATTCTTGGTGCAAATGCTCCGTCACAATTAGGTCACGCACACCGTCTAGAACTAGTATTACTTCTTTAGTGCAACCAAACTCTCTTTTTCGCGTCTTCCTCGAAATTGTGCATGCCACACGAACAAACGTGGGCCCCTACCTACACCACTTCCCATCCAACCTGGCCCCACCCCCTCCCACCCTCATCTCCCCATAACCTCTCGACTTAACCTCGTATCCTCTACTGTTCTCACACTCCATAAGGAAATACATCCCCCAAATCCCCACCACCTACTCCCCAGTCCACCTTACACACACAATCCCCCTTCTACTCGTGCCACTAACTCTCTTCCCCCCATAGGATTCGAACCAATCTCCGAGTTGTTAACACATATTTATCGCATTAATCGTTAAGATCCTCGCTGTATGCCATTCTCCCTCCCCCGCCCACGTAATCCCCCACGGCCCCGCACTTTCCCGAAACCCCCTTCGAATCTCCCACTTTCTCCCTTCCCCACTCCCATCTCCCCGTACCTCCAATCGCCTGATACCTCGTCATCCCGCTCCTTCGAATATCCCTCACTCTCCCTTCCCCACTCCCACCCTCCTCACGTTCTCACGCCTTAACGAGTGTCACTATCCCATCCCCGCATTTCTTCCGCTTACACAACATGCCACTCTCCCGCCCCCACCCTCGCTTCCTTCCGCTTTCACACGCGTCACTCTCCCGCCCTCCCCACACTCGCTTTCTCCCGTAACTCCCCTCGAATCTTCCCCACTGCTTTCTCCCGCCCCACACTCACCCGCCCCCGCATACTTCAACCCCTCCTGAATCTCCCGCACTCTCCCCTCCCTATTCCCATCTCTTTGTTTCCTCGACTCCCCCAGAACTCCCCTCGAATCTTCCGTTCTCTCCCTTCCCTGCATTCTGTTGTTCCTGCCGCTGCATTCTTCCGATTCCGCATCCTCTCAATACTCCCCTTGAATCTTCCCCTACTGCATTGTCCCACCGCCG